TGGTAACAGTTGATACTTAAGCACCATTATAAATTCTTCATAAATAAAAAAATTTGTTGGACATAGATATATACTTCTGCATTCATATGAAACCTTCTTCAAACTGCACCCTAATAACTTGGACATCTTCAAACACGCATAGTTACGCCGTCGCTCACGGTGACTACTGGTATTTTCTGACTTTCAAAGACCTTGCTGAAAGTGACAATATTTGAACTTTTTTACTAATCTTCTCCAATTTATTTATTAAAAAGTAAATATTATTATGCGTACGTTCTAGTTCTAAAAAAATTAATTAAGAATCGAATGTGACTTAAAAAGAATCAGCTGAAAAAGAAATCGATAGATACTTTGTTGAACAGCATTAAAGTTTAGCATTTGCATGATATACTTAACCATTTTTAACATATTGTCTTCGTAACGCTACATTGAAAAGAAGACTTACAATTGGAGAGAAGAAACGAGTTAAAGGAAACGACTGAAAAACTTCTCTTGTTCATAAGCATTCCAGATTGGTGGAATGTATATTTTTTAAAGAGAACCAACCCATGCAGCATTTTTTAAAGTTTTGCAAAATTTAATACGCATTTGAAATCAGAATGCTATATTCGTTGAAACAGAAATGCTACACTAATTTATGTCTAGTCATTTTTAATTAGGGACACATTGGTTTTAAAAGCTGTAGAGACAATAGGATTTTTGAAGCTGCAGAAGACTTGAAAATGAGCAATGCCTTCGCCGGAAATCGAACCACGGACCTCTCGAATACGCGTCGAGCATGCTGACCACTACAACACGAAGGCGGGAGAAATATCTTATATACTCCCCCTTTTAAAAGGCGACTGGGGTTTTAGGGGACTCAACCGCCAAATCCTGGTGGTGAAGAATCATCATTCACCGCCAGGATCACTTTTTTAGTTCGGGCGCCACTTAGAGACATTATATTATTTTGGAAGAAGGAGATATGAAAAATGAGCAATGCCCTCGCCGGGAATCGAACCACAGACCTCTCGAATACGCGTCGAGCGTGTTGAACACTAATGCTAAGAATGCGGGAGAAATATCTTATAAAGCTATGAGCTATTTGGCTAAATTTTGATGTATTCTGAAAACGAACAATGGTAGTATTAATTAAAAAATGAAATTACATCTATTTTGTTTCAGGTTATGTTGCTAAAGTTCTCGATTTCTTATAATTTAGTTAATGTGTATGTGCTCTGTGTTAAATATTGCATATTAGTAGCAAGCATATTTTACATCCAGAAGGGCATTAAAGTTATGATATGATACTTTAAACGATTTGTCATTACTATGGGGCATTTAAAGGGTACTTGAAGGAATTTTGTTTTAATTTAGTTACAAAAAATTATGCTTTTGATAGACATGTATATTTTTAAAATCTTCTTTTCTGCTGATTTTGACGCGCTCATTATTTATTACCTAGTGCTTACAGCTGCATCCATTGTTTTTTAAAATGCAACTTTTCAATATAAGAAAAATTATTTTCTGTTACATTAAAGAAGCATCAAATTTTGTTCTCATTACTGTGATTTTGTTCTCATTACTGTGATTTCTCATTACTGTATTTCTTTGCCTAGTCTGATTTCAGATATTCCTTAACTCTGATATTCAAATTCTTCAGCACTAAAACGCTTTAATGTTTATGAGAATTTACATTTGGACAAAATGAAAACGTAATTTTTATTTTATATATTGTCTATCTGTCTAAATGGAGATGGACATCGAAATTAACTTTACCTGCCTAAAGTTTCTCTTTTCATTGTAATGTCACTCACACAGTAAAAATAGATATTTCCTTCTTTTCATGAATTTGTACGAAATGTCATTTAAAACATGGCTAATTAAGAGAAGAATCTAAAAATAGGGATGACTGATGGAATTTATTTTATATTTTGTTCCTTCAAAAATACAAGGTTAAAAGCTGTGAGGTATACAGTCAGCCATCCATCATCATCCACCATACTATATTCTTTGAGCACTTTCCCATCACTGGCTTCCTTTTTCTAATATTTCAACAGTTGTACATACAAAGCTGAATATGATGCAATTAAATAATGTTTTCGAGAGGACCATCTTTACTTGAGAATCAAAACCATAAAAACAATCATTATTTAAATGGAAAAGAAAAAACATTTTGTGGTGAAAAAGTATGCTATTTTGAAGTCGTATAATGTATAGCATAGATACAGTGAGTTGATTTGAGAATTGTATACAAAAGCGTCCATTGCATATTTGATAGACTGGGGGGGGGAAGTAATGCCGAAAACGAGAAATCTTTGAAATGCGAATTCAACGTTTTTTAGTTAGCATATGTCGGTAGATGCAAATTTGACATAATCCATTAATGAGCATAGTTATTTAAAGGTTATCTCCAGGACAGATATTCTGTAGCCACTGTTTCTGCGTGCAAATATACTGTGATCGTTTGTGTGCGTTTTAAAATATGCGGAATGAAGCTTTCTTAAAAAATTACCACTTGCACTTCCAGATGATTTTGGTCTTTTATGGAGGGGATCGCATTATAAAGTATGCTCAGTATTGATGTTGTAATAAGGTGGTAGCCAATTTCTTTACATGGAAAGTCTAATTAATAATACGTACAGGCTTATTATTTAAAATACATATAGCTTTTAAAATATATACTGGTCAGTTTAAAATGCAAAACGTACAGTATTGTTTATTTGGGTAATATTTTTGGAACACAGACATACGATAGTTAATTCAGTATATTCAAAATCTCTTTGTAAGCAGTTTTGAGGATAGGATAAGACCCAGACCAATTTTAAAGCTGATGAAAGCATTGTGGCTTCTTATTGGAAATAAAAAATCCAAGTCATTTGTGCTTTAACAGGAATCTGCACGTGCATTATATATAATCAGAAAAACGTGTAAAAGGATACATGCAACAGGCAATACGTGATCAGTAATAATAAGAATTGTTATCGTACTGCTGGCTGCAGTAAAGAATTGAGAGGGCATCAAGCAGTCCAAGAGCATTAGCAGATCTTCATTACCACTTAGATTTATAGAGTCCAGGTGTAAAGGTTTTAGGAGACTCAAAAATATTCCTGCAAGGGTTATTAAACACTCATCATATTCACAAAAACGACGAAAGTAAGCACTGAAGCCTTTGAGAAAATCCTCTGCCTAAGTTCCCTACTTTAATTGGGCACAGGACATTAGTTAGCATCCATTTTTATAAGAAACATCACTCCCTTTCATGAGAGGGAGATGAGAGGTTTCGTTCTGTTTACTTTTGAATATTGAGGAGAAAAAGTAATCTGAAAAAGCTGAAGCAGAATTAATTTGGGGCTTACTAATTTAGTCTTATAGCTCACTTCAATTTGGGGATAAATGAAGTTCAACCAAATGTAATTTTGTTCATAAACAAATAAGAAAATTACTTAGATATGCATCAGGAAAATTTTAGAAAATATTTTATGCACTTCTGTCTATAAATTATGTAAAGAAAAGCTGCAAACAAAGTGGAAGTACAGAAAGCAAAAAGACTTTAAGTAGATAGACACACACAGATTATCATATATGAATGCATAAAAAATGTAACAGCAAAAAGTACAGAAAACAACAGAAGAAGAAGCAACTTAGAAGTGCGCAGAATGTGAAGGCATACGGCCATATATGTAAGGTTAACAGAAAAGATGGTCACAGCTTTAAAGAGTGATAGAACGGCAAGAGTAAAAATTTTCATAATAGAGTATGTGATTGGGAGCCAAGTGGTTTGACTTATACTTGACATACCAGATATCTTTTAAAACACCAATGACCCTTGTGATGCATGATTTTCAGTTATAGCTCGTTCATTTGAAAAATTCTTTGATTAAAACAAGCTTTTCATTTTTCAAATTTTTCGTACTTGTACTTCCGCGTTAACACTTCATATGTAATCTCGCATTTCGTTTTGAAAACTGTTACTTTTGCAATGATCGATCCCTCCTTTCCTGTTACTCCCTGCATTCGTATTATCACAATGTAAGGAAATATCGCTTTCCCTCCCGTGTGCTGTTGTATTGTAAATGGTTACCATTATATTATAAATGGTTATCATGCCCAGCTGATGTTAGAAGATCCTTTGTGCGAATACCGGTGAGGGCACACTTTTTTGGTGCATCTTTAAAACGTTTTTTGGCTCAGAAAAGTAAAAAAATCTCTAGAACGGATATAGAATGAAAATTTATGAGGCGATATCTCATTACCGCCTAAATTTGTATGACTAGGTCTTTTTTGTCCCTCAAATCGCCCTTTGAATGGGGGTACGTATTAATAGTCTCTACAGTAATACACAGAAGTAAATACATAAAATAATATACATGTGTTTTAGTACATAAATGTAAATACTTCTAGATTAAATGTACGTATATATAAATCAAAATCATCTGTACAGTTGCACACGGACGTACTATTTTTTCTGGAAACGTGTTTTAGTTCAGTTTGTCTTTCTCTGTTGTATTAATCTTTTCATCGCAGATAAATGAGCAGTATAATATATAAAATCCATTCTTTTAACTATTAGACGATTAAGGGAAAGGAATTCCCAGTAAGAGAGTTCGAAAACTGAAAAATTGCGATTTTAATTCTAGGCCTGTTATTTACACGCACATCAGACAACATATTTTTAATATCAGAATCCGCCCTATATCAATCTTTGTTATCACCCAGGACTACTGTATAAGTAAATATATAAAATTTCAAATTGGTCGCCATGGAATTGTTGGTCATGCGTACAATAAAACGAATGTATTTCGTAGTAAACTCCGAAACAGAGCTCGATTTTATGTATCATCCTTCAGGAATTTTCAAATACCTAAAACGGAAATCTATTCTCCGCCGATGACATCAACACTCGTTTGGCATCATCCAACACCTGAGCTTGGGCTGTTACAATTACGCTACCCCCCACCAAATGTTTTCTTCTTATCACTGTGCCACTTAGAGATAGTCAGATTCTTACTCAGCCTGAACTTTGGAACACTAAGTCACTTTGTTAAAAATGTGCCATAAAGAACGCTTTTTTCATTAAGAACGGAACGGTATCTGAGATTCTTTTGTTATCGGAAGAGTCAAATCGATGGTTTAATTCTACATTTTGTTTTTGATGATTCGGATGTTAATTTTTCCTTTTCGTCTGTGATTACAAATGAAATGGGATCTAAGGCTCTTGAATACAATTATTTGATGCAAAGGTAAGTTTTAATATTTTATACATTTAAACTTTACATTTTAAGAAGCAATCCATAGGTATTTGTGCCAATTTGAGTTTCCTTTATTTCGGGTGGGAAAAAAAATTGTGGTAATGAAAACTGCAGAAGCTTAGCTTAATGGTATTTTGGGATTAATTTGAAACCTTTTACATTTTTGTCCTGGGTATTTTTCTGTGTTTATTAGGTCTTCTAATTTTTCTTTGTTTATATCAAAATATAGCACCATGCATGTGCACATGTTAGCTGCGAACTTTTATCCACTCAAGTTCAGTTAATTTCCATTAATATCATTATGAAAAATGTAATCCTTTATTAGAGCGGTGGGACAGCAAGAGTTAGAACTGTGTTATTAGATTACATGCGTTCTGCCAATCTTGGGGAAAAAACATAACGTAACAAAATTTACATAACGTAATAAAATTCAAGTACCTATGTGTTCAACAGCAATTTCTGAAAATCAGCTTTATGCATTTTATTCGTACGGTATGCCGTAAAAGCAAGAAAACAAAATGGAAAAGTACTCAATATAATACAGAGTACGCAAAAAGTAAAAGTATATAAAGTTCATATATATGCTTGCAAGTATTCATAAATCAATATAGTACATTTGTGTATAATTTGGAATTATTTAGTACATATTTAATTTTGTAAAACACGTTTAATACTTGATTAGTTTTCTTTCAAATATTTCCGAAGACTTCAGCTATTGTGCTAAACTAGTCTGACTATATTATAAAACATACTATAACTGAAGGGAATACTGTTGTAGGGAATTCTAGAATACTTTATATTATTTTCGTAAATTTTTATAGTGCATAATTTGTAGGGATTTGTATTTATTTTAAATAACCAGTTTATTTATTTAATTTGTTCTTCTTTCCTATAAGCCTTCATTCCTCTAATTATAAATGCCAGAATATTTAAATTTGGTACCGCGCGTGAAGGAATGCAAATTATACCTTGAAGAAAGAGTTTAAAACCGAGGTTCAGTAGGAAAGAGTTTTAGGCTATTGGCTTTGGAGAGAGTTTTAGGCTATTGGCGTCACCTGTTGCATAAGCGTCTGCTCCCAGAGTTATTGCTAGTTCGCGTGGCTTAACTGCATTTACTTGCTGCCACTAGTTTTCGACGCGGGTTTAAGAAACAGGAATTATCTGAGCCCTGTAGCTTAGTTCTATTTCTTGTGTATATCTTCGAATTTTTAGTTTAGTTCTGTGATTTCAGTTACCGCCCAAGGGAGGCGTAGTGTGTTAGCGTCGAGTTGACGCATTGTAAATTTTAAAGAGTTAATAAAGGGTACTTTTAACCTTCTCCTGTGCAGCTACTACTCTTACAAGTTCTCACACAGAAGTTAGACAAATAGACTCTACAAATTTATGATACTTATGTTTGGAATTTCTGAACCATCAACTCTTAACCTGTAGTCCGCATATTCCTGGCTGTTCTTTAGCTAAGAGTGAGGAGTTCACGAATAATATTTCAGGCAAAAGTCAGATTTATTATTTAATTTCATTATGAGAAATTAAATAAACCATTATTCAAATTAACATTGAAAGGCTGTTGAACTCTTTAATAGTCTTTGTTTTAGATTAGGGCTCTTCAACCCGTGGCCCGCTGAAGGCACTTTTGTGGCCCCACATTTAAATATGAAGAAAAATTGAAGATTTTAAAGAAATTTTGATTTCAAGAAAAATTGCCTTGTCAGGTTTTGTCGTAGAAAAAAACATTTTTCCCCTCTTATTCTTAATATTTAAAACATTTTATTGACATGCCTGATATTATTTGAGATAAGGTTTTCTGAAAATGACGAATGTTTCAAAAATTTCACTTTATCTTATGTAATTTTAAAAATAAAAAATTTGACTATGCATGAAATCTCGATTCCATAAAAAGGGTAGAAGCTTATCTCCAACAGGTTTGCAACAGATGTCAATCTTTCGTTAATACTTTGAGCGTGCCGAGAGAGATATACATAGAGGGGAGGGGAATAAATTAACAGAATTACTATAGAGGGGGAATAAATTAACCCAATTCTATTTCTCCTAATGCTGCAATCAATTGTCAAAGGGAACGGTGATCTTAAACATCCTGTTTGATTTGGTGATAAACAGATTTTCTACAGTTGATTAAGCTAGGTTATCTCACTCATTCCCATCTAAAATTCAGAAGCGTTAGGATCTTCGATGAGTACACAATGGCAGGCCGTGATAACAAAAAAAGGAACGTTAAAGGAAAAGTGCGATTTTTTTTCAAGAAAAGTGGTCAGATCTTTATTTTTTGTTGTACATAACGGTAAGGCAATTTGCCTTATTTGCAACGACAGTGTAGCTGTGATGAAGGAATACAACAATATGAGACATTATGATTCTAAGCACAGTGAGAAATATTCTGCATCGGAAGGTAATTTTCGAAGTGATAAGGTGAATGAATTAAAATCAAAACTAAATTTTCAGCAGTCTTTCTTCACTACAGCGAGTAAAGAATCTGAAAATAGTGTTCGTGTTAGTTACATGATATCAGAAAACATTGATAAGCGTGGAAAACCCTTTGCTGATGGAGAATTCGTAAAAGAATGTCTTCAGACTGCAGTTGATGTGCTTTGTCCATCACAGGCCATTTTTATGCGTGGCGCCATTTTTATGCGTGGCGTTGATAAAGACTTCACAATTGTAGAGGAATTAGCCGTTCGTTGCACTTAAAGGTCAGCACGAGGAATAGATTATATTCGAGTGACACAAACTTGTATAAATGTGAGTTAACTTCAGTAAATATCTGCTATACCACGATGGTGCTAAATCTAGACTGGAGAGACAAGGAGTAACCACATTAATCAAATCTGATGTGAGCCAAGTGGGAATAATACTATGATGACGTTCCACTGCATCATCCACTAAGAAAATTTGTGCAAGAAGTCCTTTTCAAACTTTGAACATGTGATGAATGTTGTTGTAAAAATTATTAATTCCATTCGGTCTAAAGGATTTAATCACAGGCAATTTCAACAGTTTCAACTAAAGTAACTTGAGTGAATTGGAAGCTGAATATGGTGATGTGTATTACGCGGAAATACGTTAGTTGAGCCGAGGAAAGATGCTTCAGCGCCTGTTTTCTTTGAAGAGCGAAGTTCAACAATTCAATGGAATCTAAAGGAATCTATCATGATTCAGTGATGAGAAATGGTTGAGAGACTTTGCATTTCTTGTCGATTGGTCATCTCAATGATTTGAACTCGCTTCTGGAAAAAAGATCTATTTGTTCATAATCTTACTACTTTGCGAAAGCTTTTGACACAAAATTAATCCTGTGGGAAAGTTAGTTGCTAAATAAGAATTCCACTCACTTTCCAAAATTGATGGAATGTGTGAAGAACTCTACAACATGGAATTCAAATAATGATGTACAATGTATTTCAAATTTGAAAGAGGAATTCAAAAGCAGATTTTCCGATTTGTGAAAATGAAATTTTTATGAGAATGTTCTCCTCGCCATTTTTAGTAGACGTTGGCAGTGTTCCGCCTGAACTTCAATTAGAATTTATAGGTTTACAGTGTGACTCTGCGGTAAAATGCAAATTTCTTGAAAATCGTACATTAATTTATTTTTATTCGAAGTACGTGACCGAAGACAAATATCCAGGAATTCCTAAACATGCTCCCTTCACGTTTTCTATCTTTTGCAGTATCTACATATGTGAACAGCGTTTTCGTAAAATGAAAATCTTAAAATAAAAAACGAGAGCGCGGCTGACAGATATTTGGAGGAAACTTTAAGAATTGCAACAACACAGATTAAACCGGATATTGAAGTTTTAATCAAGCAAAAACAATGTCAAATTTCATATTAAAACTAAATACCATCTCCCGCCAGTAATGGAAGTTCTTTTCTATTTTACTTCCTTGTACGAAGTAAAAAGGAAGTATTGTAATCGCGAAAAGTTTCAGGAAGCATATTAAAAGAACATATCCATTTTGACCGCTATCGAATGCAATTTAACGATGTTTTTGCGTGATATCTGTACGTAAGGAAAGAAATAAATACTCTTTTCCTCCCCCAAAAATTATAACCTGCTTTAAAATTAATTCTGAAGAGATTTTTCGTGCGTCTGTACGTATCTCCATAACTCAAAAACGAGTAGCTCAGAACGTTGAATTTTTGTATATAGGACTGCTAAACAGTAGAGTGCACCGTATTTTTGGTTGCAATCGGCCGCACCAAACGTATATAAATATAGGTGCTACTTTGGTAGACGGTTGCACGTATTTTGGCGATTTTTCTTTTGGCGAGTAATACAACTTATGGTAAACCCATTGCTGGGCAGTTATTTATGGTAACCGATACTTGTTTGTCATTTTATTAAAAATAATGTGTTTTATTGTGCGTAAATTCCGTGTTTTAAATATTTTTATGGCTTCTAATATTAAAAATCAATTAAATTTGCATTTTTATTGAAATTGTTATTGTTTATCATATTTTATCAAATTTTTTGTGTGGATGATGTAACAATGACGTCACCTTACTTAAAAAATTGGTTTTAATATGTATAATTTAATCTAATTTTTAAACATTATTTATGGCTGTTAAATATTAAATACAATTTAATTTTGCATTTTTTTAAAATGATTTTATTATGTGTGAATTTTTAAATAATTTTTAATTCTAGACGTGATGTAATAAGCTCTCTGATTGTGTATAGAATATGGCATTAACGAGCTGTATCAGCTCCCTGATGGTTACTGAAAATTGTGCTTTTGCGCCATTTTAAAATTTAATCATATCTCGAATTCCTTCAAAGATTGTGTTTAAGATAAGGTGTTATTGGTAAGTACCACGAATTATTGGTATCGGAATCAAAATTGTCTTTGAGACCTTATTTTGGCCACCTGGCTTCATAATCAAGATTTGTTTACAAATTGTTACACGGTCAGAGGAAATTTTTTTAAATTTTAGAGGAACCTCGCTAATGCTTCTTCAATGAAGTGCGCGA